AAAAATGATCTTGCAACTTTGCTATTATTGGTATCAGACATCGTTTGATGAACTTGAGGTTATGAATGCTGTTATTTATTGCATTTGGGCCTTCAGTGCACTGCAGGCTTGCTAAGAGAGATTAGCTGTGTCAACATGCTTGGTCACCATCTTCTAGATCCCTCCTGGAAAGCCAGCATTCAGTAGGTTTCTTCTCATGCAAAGATTTTCTAAAGTAGCAAGTAAGAACTGAAAACAATTCTTGATGTTGTCATTCTTAGGTGTAAGGGTTTTTTTTTTTGTGCCTAAAGTTGTCTTTTTGTTACTTCTTTGTGACTACAGTTGTGTCCATTTTAATTGTTTTAATAGTTTTCCATAAAATTTCTGGTAACTTGTTTTTGTTGCAAGAATATTTATAAATAGCGATTGAAAATAACTACTCTGAAAAACATTCTAAGGCTGTTATATATAGCATCCCTACACTTTAAGGTCTTAAAATAATTAAAGTTTGCACAAATATGCTTTATTAAAACAAACTGGACTTTATGGCAGAGGCTTTTTAGGATGCTTTAAGAAAAGGGTTTTCACTTCCTCTACTGCTTGTTTTTCTCCCATGGTGTTGTAGTTAACTTTTTTATTTGATGTTTTAACACAGAGAAATGCTTGTAATGTCATTTCTAATTTATCTGTCACTTTAGTTTTCTACTCAATGTAGCAGGTTTACTTTCTCCACAGCAACCAATATGCTACTGTATAAACATTTAATATCAACACGCTTCCACCTCCCTTCTCCATGGTATATTGAGACAAACCTACAAGAATTCAGAAATACCTTAGACTAGCTGTTATTTGGCAGTTGTAAGTCTCCTAGTGCTTTCATTTTTTGGAAAGCTTGTTTTCCTCCCCTTCCTCCACAGAAAAATGGCAATCTGCAGTGACGTAGTTGAAGATCAAGTCATGTCAGTTGCTACTTCAGTGCAGATAGAAGCTGTACTGTTGTAACATGGAATACTATGTTCTTTGCCTGAATATGTGGTTAATGAACACTTGCTCATGTGTTCTGGAATGGCTTTTATTTCAGTTCCAGGCATGGACTCCACAGAATTTGGGATATCTTTGCTTGTCTGATTTGACACTCACACTAGTTACAGTTAATGGTATTGCTATTACTCGGAATTACAACAGCATCATGATTAAAAAAAAAAAAGCTTGGCCAATCTGGCAAAGTGAATAAGAAGATGGGGTTTCAGCTGCTTCAGCTGTTCTACTACAGCAGTATTGCTAAAATATTTCAGTTACATTTATGAATCATTTTATTTTGTCCTCAGATCAGCATTTTTGAAAAAAATTGCCTAATTTTTTCTATAGACTTTGAATAGTTTCTTAGAGAAATGAATCAATAGCTAGCCCAAATAAGCTCACGTTGTACTTATATATTATGTAAATCAAGACAGTAATGTAGAGTCCCTTTAGATACTGAATAAAGCTGTTCTCTATCAGTGTAACGGATCCCTTGATCACAATTTTGTTGTTTCATTCATTCTAACTAGATTTTTGTGAGCCAAAGTATAGCTCATCTAAATGACTAGAAGTCTGTTACAGTAGTAATTCTGAAGTACTTTTTCTTCAGTTTTGTGTCAGGATGTGGAACTATTTGACAGCAATATGTGCCTTCTCTTGTGGCAGCCTTATGCTTCTATCTTTTTTCCTTTCTTGTTCTCTCACATATGTAGAACCAGTAACTAAACATCTTAACTTGGTACTTGGTTGTGCATCTTGGAGCGTACAAATACATTTGAAATTGTGGAGCAACTTCCTTCCAGCTTGCATTGGTGTAGAGCATGGAGTAATTACTCCCTTAAGTGAGGCTTTTGTGCTCTGGTATCTGCCATTCCAAAATGCAGTAGACTCAAAATACCCTGAATCTTCCTCTTGTGTTTGTAGCTTTTGTTGTATGTCAACTAAGCCATTGGTCCTCACTGCATTGTGAGACAAGCATTGGTAATTCAATTCATGTTATTAATTTGATAGCTGTTTTCTTTCTAGCTGTTTGCTGTTTTTATCGTGTGTATGCTTTCTTTTACAAACCTGAAGATGAAGCCTTTAAGTTGTAGCAACTAGAGCTAACTAGAGGGAGGCTGATTCCTCATTCCTGGCTTTTTTGTGTGCCTAACTTCCCTGACAGCCATGCACCAGGAAGTTAATTCTCTTTATACAGTGGCAGGCTTCCATTTTCTGCCCGCCTGTGGTTTGGAGGAAATGTTAAGTCTAGAGAGATGTCATATTTGCATGTTTCATCTACACAGCTTGAATATCAATGGAAGGACTATCTTCTGTATGTATGAGAAGGGCTAAAGCTATTAGCTATGACTTGAACATGTTTTGGACAAAGGCAGGGTGCAAGTCTTTCCTGTACTCAGTTCTGTCTCCAGGCATTTTTTTGCTTTTGAAATGAAATGTTTCTTTAGGTCATGTCATTCTTGTTGTTGTTGTTTTGGTTTTGATGTTGTTTTTATCCTGAAAGATTGCTGGCTCTTGAAGGAATCAGGTTGCATTATCCGCTTGTCTTATAAATATTAGCTGGAAGACTATATGGATGTTAATGTCTTGATTCAAAATTTGAAGAGTTAAATTAGATATAACCGTAAAGAGCTCATCCTAGTTAAACTGTTTGGTTTTTAAGTGCTAAAACCTGTTTTCCTAAGCTAATTTTTAGCTGTTTTTTTTATAAGGACTTTAATATGTAGATATTCAATTTTGCTTCTCGAGTCCCAAAGAATACCTCGTGATAGCACCTGAAAATCGTGCCTGGGTTATAATTTCCTCATGGCACTTGCTGTATGTCTTCAAGGTTTACTGCACTGTTTCATTACTGTTCTCTTTTTTTTTCCTTAAGATGATTAGCTATTCTTCAGCCCATAGAATACTACTTTTATTTTTAGACTAGCCTGAATAATGTTTCAAATTAAGTTCATATAAAAGTGGTTTCGAAATAAGTATACTTAATCATAGTCCATTAGATCTTCTGTCTTGACTGGTAGCATATTTCGAGATAATATGCTTTTTTTTCCTCACTCATTGTATTCTAACCTTTTGCCACCTGTGGATATTGATTTGTGCTTTGATAGCTGGTTCTAGAGTAAAGAGTGAGGAGGTAAATACAGATTTTCTTCAGAAAATCCTGTATGCTGGGCTGCATCGAAAGAGAGGTGGTCAGCAGAGACAGGGAGGTGATGAATCTCCCTCTGCTCTGCCTTCACAAGGTCCTGTCTAGAGTACTTAGTCCAAGCCTGGGGCCTCCAACACAAGAAAGATGTGGAGCTGTTGGAGAGGGTCCAGATTATGTTACAAACATAATCAGAGGGCTGGAGCACCTCTCCTACGAAGAAAAGTTGAGGGAGCTTGGCTGGTCCAGCCTGGAGAAGAGGAGGCTCTAGAGAGACCTCATTGTGGCCTCCTAGTACCTAAAGGAAGCTTATAAGCAGGAGGGGGACTGACTTTTTGTATGGTCTGATAGTGATAGAACAAGGAATACCAGAATAGGGGAGGTTGAGTAGGTATCAGGAGAAAATTTTTCACTCTGAGGGTGGCAAGGCACTGTTAGTGTTTCTCTGGCTGCCCAGAGAAACTGTAGATTCTCTGTCTCTGGAGGGCACTGAAGGCTGGGTTGGATGGGATTTTGGGCAGCCTGATGTAGTGGCTAGTAATGCTGCACGCTGTGGAAGGGTTGAAGCTACGTGGGCTTCAAGGTCTCTTCCAATCCAAGCCATTCTGTGATTGTCTAAAATCATTGGCAGTGTTTCCTGTTTGTTACTCGTGATTCAAAACTGTCTACTCTTAACATGAGAACTGAATTAAATTTTCTCCCACTTGTTTTGTTCAAGAAAGACCATCAGTGCCATGAAAGGCCATGGTAGTGTTAGGTAAGTGTGGAGAATTATTTGAATTTTTTTTTTAAAAATATAGAATCAAGCCATCTATTTTAAAAGTGAGCGGGAAACTGTAAATAAAAACAAACCAAAAAACTTGGATCTGTTTCTGGCAGGCCAAATAATACAGTATAGATGTAACAAATAAGTAGCAAGCTCATATGAGAGACAAATGCTAAAAACAGTTCTACAAAGTCATACACCACATAAAATGCATGGAACCTAAAGTTCCTTCCTCTGGTGGAATTTTTAAATGCGAGGGGCACTTGGAGAAAGAAGTATTTAAGAAAGGAATGTTAAAGGAATAGTTTACTTTAGTCCCTGTAGAATCTCACTGAAGTATGAGAATGAACACCCACTCCCAAGTTGGGATCCTGCAGTGAGGAAATGTATGCATGCATACAGTAGTGATTATTAGATGTTAAGGATAAAAAATGGATAAGAAGAGTTCTAAAGAAAAAAGATCAATTCTACAGGTGTGATTGATTACCTTGCTCTGCTTGACAAATGAGTCAGACTTAGTAAAGTAGAAAGAAGAGGCTACATCTCTGCTTAGCACTCCCAAGAAAATGATAGTAGTAACTCGGATCATATTGTAGTATGCCATAAGCCCATATCACTTAATGCTATTTGAATTCCATGGCTGGAGACAACATTTGAAGTTTCAATTTATGATAAAGAAATCCTTTTAAAATGAGAATTAAATAGAAATTGCAAGATTGCATGTTTTGTTCAGTTAGAAATACTCTATAATAGTATCTGAATTTTCATTTAGCAATATGGAAGTTGGAATGAGATGGACTTATCTGATTTGCTTTAAAAATGAAGTGGTACCCAAAACTATGCTATGAAAAAGCTCTCAAGTTATTTTTTCTTAGTTTCATTTGTGGCCTTTCCAAACAGTTCATTCCCATTGAGCTGATGTAGGGTAGCACATAATGGTAATTCAAGAATGCCTTTATCCATCTGCTTACTGACTATTACGCTTTGTGTCTTTCTGGCTACATGCTGTGCTGGCTGTGAACAGTCAAACAGAAGGACTTCCCTGTCAGGTTTCAAATCCTAATGTTTTGTCATCTTTATGTCTCACAGAGTTCTGAAGCCTCCAAAGTGGTAATCCTGGAGTGGTGCTGGGTTCTGGAGTTCAAGAGAAAAACAGATGTTTCAATAATTCTCAGTAAGTAAGATACAGCTCAGTATGTTCAGTGTCAATGTTTTATTTCAGTCAACAAAAAACTAAAAATGCAATCACGTATTTGCCTTAAACTTAAGTAAAATGTGTTCTTTTGTTAGTGATGCACACATCTAAATGTTGCTCTCTGAATCTCTGACAAATAGACCATAAAAGCCATAGGTATTACTTTTTCTAAAATCAAAAATCGTCTTTCTCTAGTAATAAGTGTGATCCTCTGGCTTTGCTTTTTGTCTGCTATCAACTTTCAATTCACTGGATTAGTTTTTTGATTGTTTGTTTAAAAAAAGAAAAAAAAAATTGAGAGAAGGATTTCATAGAAATTAGAACCACTATTTTAGTGCAAAGACTTTCATTTGGGAAAATGCTGTCATAGACTTTTCTCTGCAAGAGTAATTCAACTGTTCTGGTTTTTTTTTTTATGGAGTGGGCTCATTCAGTTACTATTGCAGAGTTTTGAATTCTTTGGGCCAGGTTGGCCATTTTCTGTTAGTTTTAGTGGTCTGAGAGGTTTAGAAAGCAATCAAATCCTGCCTGTCTCAGTCTGAGAAAGTGAAAATTTTGTTCTGTATTTTTATTCCGTCCAGTATGCTTTCTGAGTATTAATAATTTTCAGACAAGCAGTAAAATGAGAGTTTAAGGGACAAATTCTTACATGTTTCATGTTTGGAGTGTCATGCTTCAAAGTGTAGAATATAAATTGCACGCATGAAACTGAAAAATCCATTTGATGTGAAGATTTGTGGGATATCTGTTAAAGTATTGATCATTCAAAGTACGTGCTGTAGTTGAAACCTGGATGGATCTATTCTACGGGGTAGGGTAGGGTCATGCTAGCCTGAGAGTAGTGCTAGTGGGTTAGTAAAAGTGGCCATAGGAGAAAAATTATGTTGCATTTGTGGAACTGATGGCCTGCTTTTAGCAGAAATCCTTACCTTCTGTTTTTGTAAGCACCAGAATTTCCAGCTCACTAAGACAAAAATGTTTCATTAATTATATTAACTTCTGTCCAAGGTAATTGGTAACTTAATCCTTGAAGTGATTCATGGTGCTTGGTTGCATTTGAGAAGGCTGAGACTTAAAAATGTATTCATTGTGTATTTTGTCCTTTTCTGAGTAGAATTTTGAGGAATAGGTCCTATCCTGCATTTAATGGAAATATATCTTACATCTTGTGCTTAATGTTGAGACGCTGCTTCAAAAAGGACTTTCTAGTTTTCAAAGCATTACTTTGCTTAACTATAATAGCTGGATGATCACCACTGACTCTCAAATTGAGGCTTTTGTAATTATGCCTTTATTGATTCTACTTCATTAATTTGGAATCATTGGGTTTATGAGGTGGTGATGTTAAGTTTGGATATAAATACAGTCATTCCAGTTCCCTTCTGGCCTTTCTTTTATAATGCTGGAACACAATGCTGCTATAGCAAGAACTCTGTTATAATTACTGCCATGTTTTTTTCAGTTGGCTTTGAAGCCTGCAAACAGGACAGCTTTTGTGACAGTGAGGTTGGCAGATTTTCAGTCCAAAGACTGGGGAATCAGACAACAGTGAGTACTGAGTAAGCACTTCAGGCTGCCTGTGGAGAAAAAGATTGGCAGTTGGTATGGGAAAAGAAATGTACTCTCATATTTAGGAACAGTAGTTGTTACTTGAGGGACAAACCTTCTAGAAGACTCAGTTTGAAGGTTAGTGGTGTAGGTAAAAATTGGGGTGAGGTGTCTGAAAGGTCTTCAAAGAATATGTTGAAAGAAAAAAGAACTGGAAACTTGGAGTATGCAGAGCCATCAAGGGATGATGAATACCTGGAAAGTGAGCAAAGGAATTCTGCAGAAGACAGAGGAAGAGACAGGTGGAGGAGAAAAGCATTTCAAACTTGGCAGTTTTCCTGTGCTGGAGAATAAGGGCAAAAGGTTGGCAAATGATTTATTGGATGGGAAAAGAGGATGCAGGCTAGAGCACTGTGAGATATTAAAACTAAAGTGAAGAGGAGTAAAGATAGCAGACTCTATACTGAGTAAGGGTAAATACCAAATGAAGTGAAATAATAGTCAGTGTACTCTAGGAAAAAATAGAATTCAGATGACAAAAGAGATGGAAAAAAAAAAAAGGACCTTGAGTATGAAATTCTTTGTCAGTGGGGGCTTTTCTCATGAAAGACTAGTTACGTTGTCACTAGATGATCATTGAGATATCCACTGTATATTGGGTGCCAAAAGAGAAAGGGGAAAGGCTCTAAGATGTTTATAGAAGGCTTTACTATGTTCAGGTGAAAGCAGGATAGAGGGTGTACCTGTTCACAAATGTCTCTTGGGCAACTACATCAGAAAACAACTGATCCATGAAATTTTACTTGTGGAAAAGACAGATGGCAAAATAAAGAGAATCAGCAAGTGGTTCATGTTCAGGCTTGGAACTGCAAGGAGAATTTTGTAATGAGCTTCTGGCTGAGTGTCTCCACCTTTTTTTTGAGCAGTGGGCTGAATCTTCACTGGGTAGTGAGAAATTGGGACTAAATAGGATACTTAAGAGGAGAAGGACAGTGGAATAAACATGGAGAGTAAAATAGATTGTTGTGCAGTACTGGCTATGTTATGGAGCTGACTGCCTCACTGTTGCGGACACTGAAATCCGAGTGGAATGCAGAAAGATCAGGTGATTGTAGTGGATAGATCTGTAAGCACTTTAAGCATAGTTCTTTCAAAACTGTCTAACTCAAAGCATTTCAAAGCAAAACGGGAAAGGAAACAAAGATTTGTTAGGTGAAACATTATTCTGATTTGTTGTGTGCCCTTGTGATGTTACCTAGGTGCTATTAACAGGGCACTTGTGTGAGATGGATCTGATTGCATGCTCTTAGGAGGGTTCGTGAGAGTATGATTCAGTCCTGAAATCCAGAGTGATGAGGATTTCAGCTTTTGTCTGAAAAGATCTTAAACCTGCAAACTGCTGCTGTGCACTGAGATGTTTGAGCAATGTAGTGTTAACTTCCTGAGCTCCAGTTCTTGTCCTGAATAACTACACTGGTTGAACCTTACAGTACAGACAAGCATCACAGCCTCTTCAAAAGCTGAAAGATATTTTTATATCATTAGTTATATCTTTTCCTCCTCTTGAGCTTGGAAGCTCTGTCAGAAGTGTGGGTTATATGGCATGGTGCTAGCAGTGGAGGGAGGGGTGAGGGCAGCTCCAGTGCCACCACTCCAAAGTCTAGCAGCCAAGATGGTGGTGCCACTGTGGAAATGCATTTCATAGAGAGAGGAGTGAAGAAGTATGAGGAACAGCCCTCAAGTACCCAGAGTCAGAGAAGGAGAAGGATGTGCACCGGATACTGAAGCAGGTGTATCCTTGCAGCCCATGGAGAGGCCAGGCTGCAGCAGAAAAATGTTGATAGTTTTAGGTCACGCTTAAGTTCAAACATCAAGCCACACAGCTCTTGCCATCCTGTTGCATGGAAACATATCTGAAGAGCAATATGAAGTGAGCTTTTGTGTATGGAGTAAGTACAAATGAAAAACATGCCTACATGTCTCCATGTGGTGTTGTACTACAGAAAATTTGGGAATGAACCCAAAAGACGCAGGCACAAGGAAATAAATTTTGATGTGAGAGACGTGTTCAGGATCTTCATTTTCTTGATCTGTGTACCTTTTTGGTTTTTGAGGATTGTATTACTTGTATTTTTGTAGTTTCTCAGTAAGAAGTAAGAAACTAAGAACTGTGACACCCAGGTAGGACTAATGAGACATGGGGAAGGGTGAGGGAAGACTGGAGGACAGTGTTTCTGATGCAATATTATAGTTGACTGGCGCGTCTAGCAGAGTGTCAGGGGAAAGATCTGCATGTAGAAATACCCCTAAGATGGCAAGGATTCCTTTTTTTTTTTTGATTTGCAAATAGTATGTAAGCCACATGGAATGTTTTGTTTCCTTAAATGCTAGTGGCTTGGAATGGCAGGTCAGTATCACTTCCCATTTTTGAGATGGACTAACAGGCATACAATGAGTTTACTCTTCCAGAATTGAATAGAAGATTGAGATCTCTGAATCTTGCCTCATCTGAAGTAGAGTGATGGTTCAGCCGGGGGTGTGATAGACTTCCTTTTTGCAAAGACAGCCCACTTCTGTGCAAAGGCTGTATTTAACATTCAGTGAATGCTGTGTTACTTTTGTTTGGTGATCTTCACTGTGGCGCTTAAATACTTCTGTGGTCTATACAGGCGTGCTGTTTAGGCAGTGAAAGGGCAGGCATGTGTTAAAGCCTGCTGGTATTAAAAGAAACAAATTATTATAGTGCAGTAGACAACGTGGGGAAACAGTTTTGTATGGTGCCATATTTATTTCCAATACTTCAGTCTTTTTTGTGAGCTTCTGTGGGGAGTTCATAGCAGATGACGATGGTAATTCCCATAAGTTTATTTCAGAATTGCAGAAAAAAATAAATAAAAGAAAAACAAAAGCCCAACCATGGAAGATAAAATTCTTAATTAAATTCCTTACTTTTGATTGAGAATTGAACTTTCAAGGGAAGATTAGCATAGCATCATGAGTAACCACGGGATGATTTCATCAATACTAATTTGGACATGAAATGCATCAGCATATAGAATTCAGTCAGCTTTGTGAATTAAATGCCTCTGATGTCTGTATTAGAAATATCCTGCAGATATAATTTACGTATCAAAGGTTTGTTCTGCTTTTATTACAGCATATGCTGGTTAGCTGTGACAGTGCTTTGTATTTTAGAGTGACGGTGGTTCATTGGTATTCGCAACCATTTCTCACTGCTGAGAACACACATTTTGCTACTGTGGGTGAGCAGGGAGAGAGAACCTTTAACCTTCATAAGTGCTCCATGTATGCATATTGCCATAGAAGAGGAAAAAATTTACCATCTAGAAAAGGAGGGGCTGTCATCGCGGTCACTCGTCAGATGATTTGTACATGTTTTAATTCAAATACTGACAGTAATTAATTTTGTTCTCTGTTAAACATGAATTTTATAACTCTCCTTGATCAGTCTCTATCAGTCTTCCTATACTTTTACATATTTGGTAGAATGGAGCAACAGAGCATTCTTAAGGAAAAAAAAACGCTGAAAATCAATACTGAATCGAAGAAGTTCTAGCAAACAGCATTTCCCTCTTAGTGTATTCTACTTTATTTTTAAAAGATATTTACAAGTCTTATTAAACTACAGTCTTTAGAAAGACGAGGGTCAATTCCCAGTAACCGTATATCTTTTTGGGGGGTCTCAGTTACTTCAATTCTCCTAGAAACCTAGGTTTCTGATTAAGAGTTGATTAAAATAAAGTACATACGAAAAAGCATTACGACACTTTTAACAAGATTTTTTTTTTCCCAAGTATTTGCAAAAGAAGGAGGCAGTTGCTACTGTTAAATTGAAAGTTTGGGGAAATTTGAGTTTTATTATAATGTGAGCATAATAACTTACGAAGTTATTTTCAGATGATGAAGGTAATAACAAAATATTCTTCTGACTTCAGAGAGTTGAGTTAGAGTAGAAGAGACTTTTCAGTATTTTGGGGATATTTCAGCTTTTCTGCGTTAGTTTGTTATTTGACAGAAGTTCTTTTTGAGCAGAGAGGTTGAATTCTTTATTTGAGCTGCAGAAGTCCTCAGGGACCATAACTTTATATACTGGCTTCAGTTGGAGAAGCTCTGCTGAGGTCAAGCTTCAGGAAGAGTTATTGGTGCGGAGTCTATATCAGAAAAGGCTGTCTTAACAGACTTCCCCCCCTCTATCTGCTTCCTGACTCTAACAGGAGTCTGTTAATGAAATCAGGAATAGAAGCAGTGTAGCTGCAGGACCAGATTAGCTTTCCATAACATCAGTGTATGCAGTGTCTCTATTTCTGTGTGCTCTGCGTATCAAGAGACAGGAAGTCAAGAGAATTTTGAAGGTTCTTACACAGCGTGAAAGCTGGGAAGTTTCTGGACTACAAAACTTTGCTTAATAACGTGTGTGAAGCAAAAGCTGGCCACGTGAATGCGTGTTTGTGTAGTTCCAAATGCTACCTCCGCCTGTTGTAGAGCAAGCACAGAGCCCTGCTACAGAACCTGTTCATGTAGATGTCACAAATGGCACCTTGGGTATTGGCATGCTTTCCATGTCTTATACAAATACCAGTGCTAATGCTGGGCATCCGTGCCAGGCACTAGAATTAGTGATGCTTCCTCCTCCCCTTCCCTTTTCCCATGAGTGCGTTTAGCTGATTTTCAACTGACCAGCTCAATTTGACAGGGTAGAAATGTGAGAAGAAACAGTTTGATATCCAGTTATTTATTGCAGCTGCGGTCTAGAGTTTAATGGGAAATATGAAGAATCTGTCTGACTTGACGTACTTAAAGATTTATTCTTGTATTAATATAGTATAGTAGCAGTTATCTTGCATTTAAGCACTCTGCTGGTTTCTGTGAAACAAATGAGATATCCTGGGAAAAACTGTGGACAAAGCTTTGTATAGTGCCAATTTATAAAGTGATTTCAATTAGCAATGTGCAATTCCACCGTCAGTATGAGCGCTGTCAGACTACTGTGGGTTATGTCAGCGTCTCAGTGTCTGAGACAGAATGACTGAATCACAGTTCATTTATTTTATGAATTAATGCAAGCTATGAAAAGGTACTGTGTTGGATTCTGTAGTTCTGTAGACCTTTCTTTGATCAAGAAGAAAGATGTAAATGTAGATACACGTACAGTTTTCATTTAAACTATGGGCTGTGAAGTGCTTGTTCTGAAGGGTTACTCTTTTGTTTCACCAAAGGAGAAGGTGTTCCAAAAGAAAACCATTGTGTTCATGTACAAATGAAGTTTCTTCTTCTTGGATTTATGCCACTGAACTGAAAAAAAAATAATCTCAGATGTCCAGCACTGAGATGAAAATAACTATTCTGCTACTGGAGATTCCCAAGTGGATGCAAAATATTGATAGCGGTATTGTTTCCTTAAATCTTATGTTCAAAACTTAACAATAAAAGTAGGAATGTGCACGAGATAGAGAACTGGCCTCATTGAAGTCGACAGTAAACACTTTCAAAAACATATTTTTTTTTCCCAGAACTAACTGATGTCAACAATAACAGAGCATAACACAAGATTCTTTTGTATTTTCTACAGAAACCCTGTAGTTGCAAGTACAAAGGTTTAGGTTTTTTTTTGCACACCCATGAAATCCTCTGGTGTAGGATATCTGAGTGCAAATATGGTTCTATCAATATGTCTACTACCTCCTTGAGTCCTTCACTAGATGTGAAGATTTGTCAATACATAGTTCATTTTTCAGAAGCACTCATTGCAGCTAAGTTTTGCTTTCCTGCTGCAACCTGACTTTAAGTATCTGAGCAAAAATTCTTTACATTGAATTTAAAATAAGAGTCAAAATGATGATTTTATTGTGAGTAATCGTATTCTCGTTATTGCCACAGATATTTTTTGCCAACGTACGTTGAGAAAATGATGAAGATTGTGTCTGCATTCTTCTGTGTATAAACTGTTTCTTACCAGCTGTATGTTCTGCAGAATAAAACTTCCTATGTTGGCAGAGATTATTATTTTCAGAGTAGTTTTATATGCTTTTCAGAATTGAACTTAGTTCTGAGTATTCCAGAGACCTAAATATAGCAGACTGTAGTGTTTTGAAGTGATTAGCTTGAAATGGATTTCCAGATCTCAAAACCGGCACCTGTTAGGTCAGAATGTGCTGAATTATGTCCATTCCTACTGCTTTTCACTATCAATTTCTGGTTACATGCATATTAAGCATGAATCAGCATGCCTTTTGTGTTTGGCAGTCTGATTTCCACTGCTGAGAGATAAGTATAAATAGAATGATTTCAATTGCAAAACATTGATTTCCCCCTAGAGCAGATGTTTCTTATTTAGCTGGTGGCAGAATGTTTTGAGGCAAAATCACTGTTCCTGTTTACATTTGAAAATAAAGAGCGGAGAGAAAAGAACACCTTGGCACATTTGAATTTTTGGTTGTAAAGCATTTGCTTGTTTGACTGTTTTAGCTAAGGCATGTCGGATATCCAAACCACTTTTATGAAAGTGTGTGGGATTTTAAAGACTGAGTGGTACAAACAGGTATTTTGTGTGCCTGAAAATGTAATTTTCAATTAGAATGACTGCTGTAAATTTTCATTGGGGAGTCTCAGATATCTTAGCATATCACATATGACATTATAGATGAAATCTCTGTGTCTAAGCTCATCTTTCACAAACAGCAAACATCAGTTTGTTCAGGTTTGGTCACTCAAGGCAAGTACATCTTCTGTGTAAACAGGGGTAAGAAGAGCATCTGCATCTCCTCCAGATTGTGAATATTCTTGTCATAAGAGCTGAATACATTCTTTCACAGACTCTCTGGGGCTGGAGGCAAGATTTTGAACTCTTATTAGCTCTTCTTTAATTACCCAGGAAAGCAGAAGGGTGTTACACCAGTTCCTTCTCCTCTTCCCTCTTGTTCCTTCTGAGTTCTGTAGTCCTACTGATCTAGAATTCTTATCAGCAGCTGCAGCCACATATTTTACACTTCCTTAGATCCACTACCAGACAAAAATACTTGTTCCACCTCTGCTGGGATTTGTGCCAACACCATTTTAAGAGACTTGCAGACTTGAGGCTTGCATCTTTTGTCCTCCATAACAATAAAAGCATAGTTAATTGTAAGTGACAGATGCTCAGTTTATGAAGTGCAAATAGGTTTAGAATAACATATGTGGGTAAGTGCCCAAGGTTAGATGCTCAAGTTAGGAAAAGGAAAATAAGTTCACTTTGTTTATGGGAAAGTTCTTTATGTTGTTTGGCTTTGAGCTAATTATGAAAGCACATAAATGTTCTGTTTCATCCAGCAGTATTATCTATGGTACATTCAGGTCAAAATGATTTTGACCAACTTATTAAGTCCTAGTTAATATGGCAACACAGATACTTGGTAGAGTTTTATGTTTCTGAGTCAGTTTGTAGCATCTTTTAAAGAAGCATTAATTTTTGTTTTTTTCCCAGTTCGTTTTTAATTGTGTGTATTGCAGAAAATGCCACGTGGAATTTGTGATTTGTCTGTGTCACAGAATTTTAAATGTTTATTCTTTCTGTGCTAATTGTAATCAAATGACTGACCCTTGCTACTTACCTGCATTTCCTTAGGAGCGCCAACTTATTTAATTTCTTTTTTTCTTTTGTCCTTGGAAAACCCGATCATTATACAATTAGACTTCAGGCAGAACAGCAAAAGACTTGGATAATAATGATGGCAGAAACTCTCATGCATAACTTGGTGGATCTTTCCAGAGGAACTATGTCATGCTAAATTATCTCCATGTATTGATGAGCAGCACTCTGCCAAGGATGAATAAAACACTGAGCATAAAGGTCAGCTCTAATAGAAGAACTTATGAACATGTTCTGTTAAATCCCGCTGCCTCTGTCTGTCTGCTGCCCCTGCTAAATCAAATTCTCCTTTAACTTAGCAGTTCTGATAGGTACCTGCTGAGCTGCAGAATTCTGTACTGAAAAAGAGCTTCCCATTTCAATTTGATTCTGCCACCTCGTTTAGCAGTATTTTAATTGCTTTTGGAAGCACTCAATGGATAAACTTTGTACTGCACTGAGCATGTAAAAATAGGGGTTTGATTCAAGAGGTAAATGGGGGTGCATGGCTCTGTGATGTAGAAGAAACATAGTGCTTTTAATGGTGAATGATATCAATTTTGTTTTGATCCCTTGTCTGAGAAGGAATTGCTAAAAACAGTGTTAATGTTTTCTGATAGCTGAATTTCAGAGTGGAGAACCAGATCTTTACCCTGAAGCTGCATCGAAAGCAGATTGTGAATTTTGGGCTGTGGCACTGGGAGAGGCAAACTCAAAGTTTGAGGAATAAAATTCATCAGCTCTGGAGGTTGATCATGGAGATCAAAGAGGAGAGAGCATCAGATGAAGCACAACAGTTTCTCCCTTCATCACAAATAGACAGTCTAGGAGAGCCACAGCTTACGAGTAAGTGTATATACTCATTTTATTAAGTGGTACAGTAAAAATGCACCAGAATTTGTAGTAGTACAGATAATGTCTCAAACAGTGTACGTAATGCTGTTTAATTTGTTTGTTGACAAGGTGCAGTTGTAGATGGGCAAACTGATAAAGGTTATCTGTAACTGTCATTACCTGTTACGTTTTTAGTTATTCAGATAATCTTCAGGGAAACAGATACGTAGTTACTATGTTTCTGGTATTTTTCTCTAATGTATTTTCTTCATGAAAGTTAAATATTCTATTCTTTTGTCCTACATGAAGATGTGGACTTGTTGTAAAACATAATCTGATAATTCTGGTGTGTTAGCAATACTTAGAGTCAGAGAAGTGTACTTTGTGATATAAAAGCACTTCAGGGTTTGAAAGCATCTAGCCATATTTTGAGCCATGTTTGATTTACAGGGGCCTGAACCATGTTGTATTGCTATGCACTGGATTTCTGTTGTATCAAGTGACTGATCGATCAATCAAGTTTGTATCCAGCATATTCATAAAAATGTTCCAATTTGCTGGATGTGCTAGTGATGAAGTTGAACTCTGAGAAATTTGTTATCAGATATTTTTATGTAATTCTATTTTAAGATAAATGAAGGATCTTATTTGTTATTTCTTACTGACCAAGGCCTTTCTACTCTTTGCAGCTATAATTTTTTCTGTATAGACACGAATGATTAGCTGCAGTAGTGACAATGATGTTACATTAGACCTATTCTACAACATTGTTTTTCATTTTATTTTTAAAATTGCAACAAGGTTCCTTCCTTACATTTTTATATACCATCCTGGTTCTTCCAAATCTGACCAATTTGTCCAGTATTTGTGAATACAACATATGATCTTTTGATGATGATGACAATATGATGATGAGACAATACATGAATGTCAATGTAAGACAATTTCATTTCTACAAGTTCAATAAATGCTGTAGTTATGATCCAATTACTTCCTGCAGAGGGTGAACAACCAAATATTATTTAACCATCCTCCAAAAGAAAATTACCTTTGCAAAGGAATGTGTCATCTTTTTATTTTTTTGGACAAATATTTCATGCAAAGATTTCTTTCAGTGAGTTTTTAATACGAAGTGTTACTCCACTCATTGTGGCAGGTATTTGGTGTGGTATGAGTTAGGCACGTCAAACTTTTAGGCTGTATTAAAAACAACACAGACACCACCACACATAGACAAAAAAAGCAGATAGGTAAATCAAATTATTTCTAACCATTTTTTTTTACTTTTTCTCATTTAAAAGGTATTCAGAGAATTGCAAATGAGCCAAAGCTGGAGTTCAGTCTTGGTAAGACAGAGTTTTGTCATCTTGGAGTTGCAGTGTGTGCCTGTATGCATGTGTGAAGAATTTGTGTATATAATGTTACATAGTATAACATATTATCTCTAGAAAAATAAGTAAATAAAAGAATTGTAGTTCATTTAGACCAGAGATCTGCCTATGCACGTGGCTTTATGTTCTTAATTCATCGAAATAACTGAATATATGTATAAGGTTGTCCCATTCCACCTGACAGTTACAACATTCTTTATTTGTCCTTTGTATTATTTCACCCCTCCCTCCCACTCTCGTGTAATGCATTATGCCAGCTGGGCTTGTGAACTTACAGTATTCACTATATGAATCCTTCTGTATTCTTTCAAAAAAAAAAATAAATAAATAAAAATAAATTCAGAAATCTATCCTTCTATCCACGTAGGGTAGGAGTTGTCTTAATTTGCATTGCCTCATTCTGTCACAATCTTTAAATATCAGTCTGCTAATTGTATCACTGAATATGCAAGGCTCAAAAAATCCTCAGTAGTGAAAGCTGGGAAGCTATTCAACTAGTGTTCTGGCTATTTGAAAAATTCTCTTTGTATGACATTTGTATTACATAACAAAAAATATATAATTATTATACAAGGAGAACAATCATTTTCATATATAATATGTAAAATATTTCATATTTATAATTTTCCTGTTGACTTAGATTCATCTGAATTCTCTCTGCATATTATAGAGAGATATGTAGAATCTAAGTAGAGAAATATACATAGAGATATCTATTCTCTATATGACTATGTGTTGTGTTTGACAACCCATCATATATCTAGTATAGCATGACTCATTTTTGCTGTGTTATCAACTTAGTTTTTGTGTTTGTAAGAGGTAATTGTTCACAGAAGTGGTCATGGAGATGCTTGCAACTTGTTGGCATGCCTTGCTTCTTAATGATGTTCAGTAAACACGTAGGACTCGCACGGAAACTAAATTTACACATGTTGTAAAGATTAAAGTTCTGTAACACCTTGCTGTGTAACAGTTATTCACCATGGTGAGCTTAAGTGCAGTGATATTTGTTTGCTTTGAAGTGGGTCAGAGTATGTGATGAACAAGGAATATTGGGTCGATCATGATGATGCAGCAAACTTCCTAATATGAATCATTTAAACTATTAGGTATGAGGTAGCATTCTTCACCTCTGTGTAATTTAAATCTATTTTGTTTCTGGACACTTTCACTTTTAAGCATTTTTTTTTTTTCCCCCCTTGATCTACCACGGAAAAGTAGATGATGCTCTTGTAAATACAAATGTGTACCAATCAGGGCTGTGAATAAGAAAAACATTTTCTTTTAAATCGGATAGAATAAAGATTGTGACTGTCATGTTTTGATGTAAATGCATCTAGAGACTAATTTTGAATAGCTATGGCTAAACTACTTAGACAGAAGTCGTAGATACCTGAATTTGAAAAGCTATTTAACACTTGAAAGGTTTTTATGGAATGTAACCATTCTGAGAGACAAGGTTTTATCAACTTAGTTCTCAAGTGATGCAGCAGATAATAGGATTAACTTCTGTTAGGAATGTTCAAATTCTGAAATGTATCAAATCAATGCGATTATAGGGCTGTGGGAAAATGAAGCTAAAAGTAATCCTTTTTCAAATCTTAAATAAAATTGCTGGTCTTTTCAGTAAACTCAATTTCTTCTTGATAATGAAAATGGTAATTTTGGTCTACCTCACACTTTTTTTTTGTAGGCTTCATAAATGTTGATTCCTGTTTTTTCAGATTCTTCTCTATCTAAAATTTCAAAGGGGTAAAGTTTTTGTGTCTTTTAAAAGATGTGAAGTTTTCTGGGAGGTTGAGTATGAACTCAATCCCTGATGAAGATGACTGGAAGCTGAATAACTACAGGAGATCAGTCTAAGCATGGGTTAATCTACCTTAATTCTTACTGATGTGGGCACTCGCCCTGTTTTGCCTGAACTGATTCCAGATCCTGATCTAGAATACTCAAAGCAATCAGAAACCTTTATGGTAATTTATAAGTCTTGCTGAGAGTTACTTGGGAGAAGAGTTCCAGAGTTATTGAGGAATTTGTTGATATAGGTAGACATTTGATTATGTTAAAATTGAATGTGTTAATTTGTTACTTAGGTATTAAAAAAAAAAACACCAAAAAACAACTTAGTAGCTACCTTAATTAGTTACTTATTTTTATGAGCTTAATGCTTGCTTTCTGAAGTACTAGGCATTCCAGTGAACATAACATAAACTTTTAAATTATTCTGACATAACTGAAAACTTGTGTTTCCAGGGTATTTTAAAAGTAGTTCATTGGAATGTAGAATTAAGGATCATTAAACTAAAGAGGAGTTATTTTCAGACACACCACTGTTCTTTTTTCCTCATTATTTTTATCTTCCTGCTTTTTCTCAAAAATACATCACCTACTTTGCATATTTCCTTCTGTTTTTCTTGCCTATGTACTCTTTCAATTCAGTTTTTGAACCCTATTCTCTCAAGTGACTCTTCAGTAGTGACTTCCATGTACATCTTACATCTCATGAATTGAGCCTTTATTTTGGAGGGTGGGGGTGTGCATGTGTGTGGCCCATTAAACCTTTAATCTTTAGGTTGCCAAAATGATGAAACAGCATGAGTGGGAAAGACGCGTATGATTTGATGACTGAGCTGGAGAGGGAAAGTGATGGTTTACCTTACTTAGAAAGTTCTCCAGTGAAAGAACATTTATGATTACATCTTTCTGGAGTAGGCTGGCAGTCAGTCCATTATCCCATTGCATGACCAATACAGCTGCAGGAACAGCTCTTGTATGACCTGATGGCCTCGTGTTTATCTGATACGTAGTGAATGATATGACTGCAAGTGATTAGTTTGTGGTTCTAGGAAGCTCTTCTGGATGAAGGGAACCCTTATTGAGAATCATTTCCTTTGCAGATGTTTATATGCTGAGAGCAACAAGCCAACTCAAGCTGAAAAATTCCTTTGTTCTTACAGAAGACTCTGTTAGACTTCCTTACCTACAACAAGATTTAGATGATAGTCCTGGCACTACTGTTGTCTTCCAGCCTTTCTCTATCTCCCAGGAGGCTGACTTTTTGTCTGGGAAAATAATTGATTTTTAAAAAACATGCTGTCTTTGTCAAAGAGACTGAGTAGACCTAGAGTGTCTGCAAAATATTTTCAGCTATACATGTTAGTCTGGTTCATAGTGTGTATTGCTAAGAATAAGCTTCACTTTTATAAGTTCTCTAATAGCTATTGTTTCACCTGTTAAGAAGGCTGATTTCATCAAACAAGAATGTCTCTTAATTTTGCTTTAATTTTTAACTTCTATTTAATGAGAAATAGTATATACAGCAAAGATTACTTAAGGGTCAATATTATTGTTTGTTTTGTGTTTTAGTAGCTGAAGTGTTAGTTTTTCCTGCTGTCCTTTACCCCATATGGTTTTGGGAGGTCTGCTGCGCAGGTGTAAGAAATAGACTGTATGTTTGAATAATTGGATAAAGTCATTTAGGAAGCGAAAAGTAACATGATTAAAGAACTTGGAGCGTGTGAGGAGAGGCTGAAAGAGAGAGCTAGGATTCTCTTGTTCAGCCTGGAGAAGTTATATGCAGTTGATAATGTGTATAAATACCTGGAGGGAGACGGGAGGCAGTGAGGATGAGGAGCCAGATTCTTCTCAGTTATCCTCTGTGAAAGTGTAGTATACAATAGATGCAAGTTAAGATATTTGAAATTCTATCAGAACACGGAGAAACAGCCCAGAGTGGCTGCTGAGTCTTCATCCTTCGAGATGAATAAACTCAACAGAGTACTGGGAATCCTGCTGTAGCTCACTGTGGTCTGGCGGAGGGGTTGGGATTGAGTTCAACATGTCATTTACGACCAAAATCTTTCTGGAATATGTGTGACAGGGATTTGCCACATAATTTAACAATAAGGTTTTTTGGCCCCCTTTAGAGCCTACTGTTAGTGACTAGCTTGTAACTGACTCTTAAAATATTCTGCAGCATGCATCAATAATAAGGTCTTTGTTGGCTTGATCTAGAAATCCTTCAGGATTTCTGTTATTATGTTGAAATTAGTGGTCTGAAAATTGTTGTCATCTGTCTGATCTAGAGCAGTTTTTGGGAATTTCTCTTATTATATGTTTCATGGTGTGTTCAGCGTGATTCAGGTAAACACACTTGTGATATCAACAAATTTTTTCTTGGGCAAGGCACAAGTTGGAAGCAGACTGAGCTGAGCAAAACTGAAAATTAAATTTTGGTTGCCTGAGATAGTATCTGATTAGTGCATATTCTGATGTTTTTTCTGCATATTTGCACGTGAAGCTTTGTTTATTTCTGTATATTCTTAGGGGAGACTTATTAGCACAAGTGCTTGTAAAATGTAAACATAGAGCAGAAAATTGTTCCTGAATACATATTTACAGCACTGAAGTAAAATTCAAACAGACCCTTTTCATCCTGAGTTGAAACTTCCCCCTTTTTCCATGCATGAAAAAGTTGAGGACGAGCTGAGGGTGACAGTTAAATTATTAGCACTCTTTACCATGTGGGTCGGTCTGAGTTCTGAAGTTTTATCAAAGAATGATGACTGTATCCTTGATTCAATTTCAGTGACAATTTTAATATGAAATGTAGAAATTAACTTTCATATTCTTATTTTGTCCCCTCTATCCCTGCTGCTAGTAACTCTTCAACTTTTTTGGGGTGCAGGGGTTTCTTTTTGGTGCTTAATCAAGGTGGGATGATTGCAAGAGGATGATTTGAATGTCTATTTGTATGCATTTAGTGACTTTCTGTGTTTTGTAGCTGCTAAGTTAGTGATGAACAGAATGATCAACCTGGATCCAGCCGCATCTGACCTCTTTCTGGTCCAGTGCTTAACTGAATTCTAAGGGGTACTGGCATCATTTTTCCTTCAGCCTTCCCGCTGGGTCTGTTGTGAAGGAAATAAGCACTGATGTTTTTTGCAGAGCATGGG